GGGTATTGCATCTTCATCACCTCAGCGGCTAGGGGACGTATCTGATCTCCCCAAGCCAATGAGGACGGACCAATGCATACTGCATGTTATGCGAGTGCCGTCAAGTCATCTAGTGTCACATTTTGGTGCTCGTTACCGAAGGCTGATAACTCCGGGCACCATTTATGTCAGAGACAGAGATCGAGGACATGGACGAACAAACGAGGAGTCACATGGATACATTCATGGCTTGTTCGCTCCGCCTTCCATGTGTAGAGCTATTGGCAGCTGGGGATCGTGTTGGTGGCGTCCTGTGTCCGTGTACTGTGTCAACCCGATCTGCAGTGATATTGAGTATCAAGAAACGTGTAGTTCTCGTTGAACTTTCGGCACAAGTAAAAGCCATTAGCTGTGGCTCTCTCGCTCACTGCCGGCCACAAGCACAATTAGGAACATATTCTTGTTTTATCCCCCCAGTTCGTGGCTTATTCAGGTTGGTGCACATGTCTGCAACGCACACTTCATTAACCTCGACAAGGCACTCCCGTGCAACACACTTGCAACGTCTACCCTCCTTCACGTTTCCCAACCTGGCTGAATTCAACGAACATATCCTGCCCTGCCTTGATACCCCGCATGCAATACTCTTGATTGCTCCCCTCCTCCTCGATTTAGCTCTGCAAGCCATATGGGGAAACCAACCACTTCCCCCAGCGAGCAACACCCTCATGCAAAGCATGTTCACACGAAGGGCCAACCAGATTCGAATGTATTGCGTTGGCCTTGTAGCTTGGCTGTATCAGATGCCGAATACCCAGGGCGTGTCAAGTATGCCAGTTGGAGTGCATTCACCGTGCACAGGAAGGTGCAGACACTATCAGCCACGAGGGTGTCTATCGTCCTCGCCGTCACAGAGGACCTGGAAGGGGCAAGATCTTCTAAGTCCGGCGTAATCACATCTATCCTTTGAATACAAACCAAACACTCCTGCTTGGTTTCCATCAGGCAACTCTGTAATTCAGCTGTTGACCACTTTCAACCCCTTTACTGGACTGAGCAACAACTGTGTACCGGTTCAATATCAAAACATAGCAGCGAATTCCAATACCAACATGAAGGTTGTGGACGCCATCAAGAACGACCTCAAGACCGACGTGAACTGGAACCGGGCTGGACGGCTTGTGAGGCAAGGTGCCACAGCCCTACCTTCGGCCTCTGTCAAATATGCTGCCGATAAGCTCCCCATCATCGGCTGGCTCCCTCGTTATAATTACAGGTAGACCATGGTCTCGTTTCCTTTTACTTCCGGGCGTTCAGAGCTCACCATGACTGTCTCTATGTAGATGGCTCCTCAACGATTTGATTGCCGGCCTGACCGTTGGCTTGATGCTCATTCCTCAGGGGTTGTCCTACGCTAAGCTCGCTGACATACCCGTCCAATACGGGCTGATGTCTTCCTGGCTGCCGGCCGTGATCTACACCTTCATGGGTACAACCAAGGGTCAGCACGACGCGTCCTTCCCAGCTATGTGGTAGCTCGTCTAACTCTCGCACGCAGACTTATCCACTGGACCCACGTCGCTCATCGGCCTGTTGACAAGCGAGATCGTGGCTGATTTCCAGCATGACTACACGCCTTCCGAAATTGCTAGTGCTGTGGCCTTATGGATGGGAGGTAAGTACCCCCTAGATGCATGATCTTTTTTCCACAGAGAGAGTGGACCACTGATCGATAGCCTGACACTGGACTGCAGTTTATGGCATGGTACTAGGCTTCCTGAAACTCGGTTTTCTACTCGAGTTCATCTCGCTTCCCATTCTCTCCGGCTTCATCAGCGCTGTGGCTATCACCATCATTCTCAACCAGATGGGCTCACTCCTTGGCGAACCCAACATTGGAGACGGGACGGCAACCCAGATCCACGACATCTTCTCCAAACTGCCCCAGGCCAACGGGTACGCCTGTGCTGTCGGCTTCACCGGTATCCTCTTCCTGGCCGTCCTTGACCACGCCTACAAGAGATGGAGTAAGAACAGGGTTCTCTGGTTCCTGTCCCTCACGCGCGCCTTCCTCTGCCTTCTCATCTTCACGGGGATGAGCTACGCCGTGAATAGGAAGTATGACAACCCCAAGCAATATATCTTTGGGGTAGCACAAGTCAAAGCGAACGGCCAGGAAGCGCCAGCTTTCCCTCGCACCGACCTTCTCGCCAAGGTTGCTAGTCGCACTATCACGGTCTTCATCGGAGCCACGGTGGAGCACACCGCCATAGCCCGAGCCTTTGGTGTGAGGAACAACTATGTCACTGACCAGAGCCAGGAGCTCTGTTACTTTGGCATAACCAATTTCTTCAACTCTTTCTTCCACTCCATGGGCGTTGGGGGCGCCATGTCCCGCACTGCCGTCAACTCCTCCTGTAACGTCAAATCACCCCTGTCCGGCCTGGTCACCACCGCCGTGGTGCTGGTCTCCATCTTCAAACTCGTCGGAACGCTCTACTGGATCCCCAAGGCCACCCTGGCAGCGATCATTGTCTGTGCCGTCTGGCCCCTGATCTCGTCCCCTCGGACATTCTACGGATACTGGAAGTCATCCCTGGCGGACTTCACCTCCTCCATGATTGCCTTCTGGGTGTGTCTCTTCGTCTCGACCGAAGCAGGCATCGGTGCCTCGGTGGGGTTTAACATTGTCTATCTCCTCATCCGCCAGGTCTTTGCCCGCATCAAATCGGGAAGTACCGAGCCGCGGTCAGAACTGGAGCTTGCTATCGAGGAGACTCGGGGTACCCCGCCGACTCTGCAAGACGATATTCGGCTGTTCAGACTGACGGACAGCTTTTTCTTCGCCAACGCCTACGCTATCCGGACCAAGATCCTGGACGTCACCCAGACACACCACGCCCCGCTGTACAGCTCGCCCCACGCTGCGGAAGCGGAGAGGAACTGGTCGGTGGTCGGGGAGCAACGCATCGCCCGACTGAGGAAGAAGGCCAACATCTCGGACTTCTCCTCCCTTCCACCCTTGGGTCTGCTGATACTGGACTTTGGACGAGTGAACCATATCGACGTCACGGCTGTCGCCCACCTTAGGCAGATGATGGACGAGATCAAGAGATACACCGGGTCGCACGTTGTAATCCGTTTTGTGGGCATGACCGAGTACGTCCGTATGCGATTCGAGCGCTGCAATTGGAGAGTAGACGATGTTGCTGCCGAGGACTATGGTGGAGAGGATGTCGAGGCAACAAAGCTGTATCGGAGTGTCGCCGATGCGGTTGCTGCGCCTAGATTGAGCGTCTTGTCTGATGAGGAAGATGAGAAGATCAGGGATATCAAGAGGTTGGACAGCACCTACGAGAACGTGACGCATACGGAGGAGGTTTAGTGCTGAATGTACATTTTGAGTTGGACTTTACATCTGTGTGTTTCATGTCTCGCATGATAGCTCAATGGTCTTTTATATCGGTTTCTCCTTGAGCTTTTGGATGTGGAGTGTGCAACGTTAGTATTTCATACCTCTGGTTTTGCTATTTATTCTTACAACTCCAGCACGGCATTTGACTTGGTGCATAACAAGATCCTTAGCAAGATATTAAGTTGAGGCTTCTTCGCCATACCGACTTATCACATCCTCATCAATGTCGGTCTGATGTTGCGATGCTCACGCGCAAGGGAGCGAAACAGTCGGGTGCATTACCGGTGTGGGGCGCATCTGCCGGACCCACAGTTTCCGGCGGTACCTAGGTACGTACGTACGTTTTGCGGTGTATCCTGCCGTCCGGCCGGGGTCATATGCGTAGGCGTCCATGTCCCTTGCTTCCCGACATATTCAAAACGTCGTCTCTATTCCGGCAAAACTTCTTTGGGTTCATACTGTCAGCGTATCCTCCTGGAAGGCTCAAATTTCTCACGCTCAAAAGCAGCATATTCACTCAGCCCCTCTGTGACCTCGGCTAGATCCAAATCATGGCCTCGGCGTCGGATCCTATTGTGGAGGCACTGAAGCAGTACACAACGTGAGTGTAGCCACTCACTGAGGATGCATCAGAGGTAACTGAATACATGTAAGATGCGATGTGTCAGATGCTCTGGTCAAGCTAGACTTTCCCAATGGAGGATTTCTGTCTGGCTTGACTATGTGGTCCCCTCAACGGCAGGATGGCACAGCGAAGATAGTCGGTCCAGCATACACTGTCAAGTATTCACTAAAAGATGATCCTGCGCCGAAGCACACGTCCCACTACATCGACTCTGTTCCCGCAGGTGCCGTGGTGTTTGTCTCCTGTCCGCCCAGGATCCCCAACGCCTGCTACGGAGGCTTGATGTCGACCAGGGCAAAAGCTAGCAGAGCCGCGGGATCCGTTATCGATGGGAGGGTGCGAGACTTGCAAGAACACAGAGACCTCGAGTATCCGGTAAGGGATCAGGACCCGACCATCAGGACTTTCTCATGCTGACAAGACCAAAGGTCTTTGCGCGGGATACGGGTACAGCATCCCCTCAGCAGCTCCTCAAGGTCACTGGGGTGAATGTTTCCGTCAAGCTACAGACTGATGAACAGGATATGACCATCAACCCTGGGGACTACCTGATCGGCGACCTGAACGGCGTGGTTGTACTGCCTAAAGAACTGGCAGGGAAGGCCATCCCGTTGATGGCAAAGCAGGTCGCCGCTGATGAGAAAATGGCCGTCGCGATCAAGGAGGGCATGTCTTTTGCTGAGGCTAGCAAGAAGTTCCGATCTTGATGTGCAGCTGTCGAGGAATGGCTGAACTGTTGGATATTCTTCCTCGGACCAAGCCCAGACATAAAGATCGAGTTGATATAGAAAAGATTCCCCAGGCTGAGCCTGTAGTCAGGTTTTAATGTAGATGTCTGCTGGGACTTGCTGGTACAGAAACGTATGGATGAGGGAGGTGGTCTCGTGCTATCGAGTCATGCCTTCGACTAATCGCCATGCTCCTGCACGTTACGAGTCATAGACACAACCAAGGCACAAAGTCAATCCCTTCGCAACCTTGGGTTCCGTGGTCTAGTGGTTATGACTGTTCGTTGTGGAACATCCCGAGGAGGATATCGCCATTCTCCGAACCAGCCCGTGTTCGATTCACGGCGGAGCCAGCCTTTTGCTGCCAGGCGTGATACAGACCATTTCGACTCATCATCGGCCCCATCCAAGCACTCAACTGGTGATCTTCGATGCCCTTGTGACTTGGGGTTTACAGCATTTTATCCTTCGTTCGGGTATCTTACATCCCAGGTAACTTGAACCTCTACACGAGGGGCACATCACAGTATTCCAGAGTGTCCTTATTTGGAAAACCGAGCTGGTCAATAAGCGCTCCTTGAGCCAGACATCATAAGGATTGCTCCTAGTCTTCCTAAGGCTGCATAATTATACAACCACATAGCCACATATTATATGCTCTCCCCTTACATCTGCCCAGGATTCCTGTTTCCACCGGTATTCGTAAGTGACGGGCCCATCTTGTCAGATAGTACACCGCCTGAGGTCGTCTTCCCAAGTCCAACGGTTCTGCTACCACTAGTTCCCAGCTGGTCCTGGGCATTCGGGGGCTGATCCCGGCTGACAGCGTTCCTCGAGTCTATGTGCGCGTCTCGGACCATGGCTGAAACAGGATTGGGTAGGTTATCTCGCCTGACACTTGCGTTCTTCGAGGCAGTAGTGTCGTTAGGTGGATAAGCCGTGTCAGACATGTTAATAACTCGAAGTGCAAGCTTGAGCTAAGTGTTATGTGACGATAAAAGTTGCAGTGTTGTGAAAGGAAGAGGAAGATTGGATCAGGCTGGAGATTTCGTTCGGGTTACAATCAAGCCGAACAGGTATAAGCATAACCCATGCCAAAAATTGTCCTTTTATATCAGTACTCTCTGGTAGTGAGGTCAGTATGTCGTGGGGAGATCCGCCTGGCTCGTAAAGCATGTGGTTGTGGTAGTAAGGATAGCGTCATTAGGGCTTACTTCTGATGGTATGATCACGAGCAACGGCACATCACACTCAAGCGCAAATCAGTGGTCCCTTTTCTCACCTGTTCCTTCAGGGTGACGGGGGACTTAGATGTCGTCGCTGGTTCAGCGTTGGTTACGAGCTAGAGAAAAGATGTCCTCGAAGCGCCCTCTACTAGTCCTGCCAAACAGCTGTAAATAATATAGGTGTGTCAGGTGAATAGCTTTTTCCTATACTCCCTTCGCGAAGCTGATGAGAGCTACTTCGCTGAGAACCGCACAGGTCTCGAAATACGCTTGTCCTCATACTTGAGTATCAGAATATGGTGGCACCTCTGGCTAATTCACAATCTAGATTAGCATGAAGGAAACGCGACGTGCTTTCCAGCCCAGGTCATCGACTATCAGGACCACCCGTGACTCTTCACCATTCAGCTCTCGTCTCTCCAAAGACACCGTGATTGGAAGCGCTCAGCTAAAGTATGTTCGGCACAAACATAGTTCGCCTAATAGTAGACATGATGGGAAAGCAGACCCTTTCATATACCAATATGTCCTGCGGAAGACACGGCGGGTAGGGAATACAATGGTGGACATGTTCGAAGCTGTATAGCAAGGTGTCCACGAACCGCACGACCTTCGGTGATAGTAAGTAAGGTACAGGGTAATGTAGCATCATCGCCGATATAGCTTTCCCGATGTCCGAAGGTGTGGGAGTGTGACCAGACTCATCGTTGGAAGTGCCTTGCGGCTTATGACGTCTTCTCCAGTTTTGGCGCTAGGGGATCCACGACGTGTTGTATCGTTAACCGCCCAGGGTGTAAATACCAAAATGGTCAGAGTCGTCTATTCTGTGGGGGAAAACTGTTTCTAAGAAACGCTGAGACTACAAATTACCCTAATCATCAAGCGTTTATGTTTGGTCTCAGAAAGATGTCGACTCAAAGTCGCCCATTAGACGTCATCACCGTGAGTTACAACTTACCCTACAAAGACGCCCTGTCACCGACGACTTTGAGATTCACACGATCATAGATAGGCGGCTCTCTAGCCGGCCTCATGGCCTCGATAGCTCTGCGTCGTCAAGGCCATCATGTCCGAATCTTTGAACAAGCGCCAACACCACTGCTACATGACCAAGGTGCCGGCATCGTAGCGGGTGGTGAGACTCAACGATTCCTGGAGCAATACGACCGAACCAAAACTCCAAACTCTGTTCCTAGCCATACTCGTCTGTACCTCAACAAGAAGGGCGGTATCATCCATGAGGAGTCAAGTCTGCAGCATATGACAAGCTGGGATCTTCTTTATAACATTTACCGATCCAATTTCGACGGCATCAAGACGGACTATATCTCACAGGATCGCCATGACAGAGCCCAACAGGGTGCACCAGGAGAAGGGACATATCAGCACGGAAGACGGGTGGCCAAACTCGAGCATGCTGGTGACAAGGTGAAAGTCTTTTATCACAGCACCATCAAAGACGACGATCAGAACCAGATCAAGGTCGAAGAAGCGGACCTCGTGGTGCTCGCAGAGGGGGCGTCCTCGGCTATCAGAAAACAGCTGTGTCCTTCTGCGCCACCAAAGAAATATGCCGGTTATGTCGCGTTTCGGGGTACCATTTCAGAGACGGATCTCTCCTCGAAAGCAGCAGAGGTCTTTATCGAAAAGTTCCCTTTTTTCCATGACAAGGGAATCCAGATCTTAGCCTATGTGATCCCAGGTAAGAACGGTAGCGTCGAGCCGGGACACAGATTGCTAAACTGGGTCTGGTACTGGAATATTGAGGACATGGAGTCCAATGAGTACAAGGCCGTCTTCACGGATAAACATGGCCAGAGTCACAGGTGGACTCTACCACCAGGCGACAACATGTCCGAGGAGGTATGGACGCGCCAGAAACAACGAGCGACGGATCTCCTGCCCCCACAGTTCGCGGAGGCGGTCTGCAAGACCAAATCTCCCTTTGTGCAAGCCGTTGCAGATTTGGAGCCGAGCGATAGCGGGGTGTGGAAGATGGACGAAAAGGTGGTACTGGTGGGCGATGCTGTGGCTGGGTTTAGGCCGCATACGGCTGCTTCAACTAGTCAAGCAGCTTTCCATGCGCTGAGGCTGGGGAATGTTTTCGCTGGAGAGATTGGGAGGGATGATTATGAAAGGGAGGTCATGGAGTATGCTACCCATATGCAGAAACACGGTGTTGAGTTGGGGCAGAGGAGTCAGTTCGGAGACCATCCTCTCTCAGGAGGATACGGACAAGCGCCCTAGGGAGAGTGGGTCGAGGCGTCGGGACGAATGCGTATGTCACCATAATCAGTTATTGAGCACTCAGCATGGGATAATTGTCTTTAAGCGTCCAAGACGCCTTCTTCGTTTCGACGGTTTCTATGCCTTCCCGTGAGAGCACGTTGCTTGGTGACTCACTTTCTTCCATGTGGATCACCATGATAGGACATGCTTTCCACGGCTCAAGAGATTGTAGGCAGTATCTCAGTGCAGTAGCTCTTGTTTTGACTAAAAGCGGAGAAGAAGAGGTAGAGCACTCAGCATGAGACCTGCCCCAATAGAAGTGTTAACCCACGTCGCTCCATGCAAGGTCAACATAATATCTTCGAGACTCCATCCCTGCTGCTCCAAGTAACCAGGGAAACGGGCATAATCGGCGCTAGTCATTTGCCTTAGCAGGCCATGGCTGATGGGTGCATAGCATACTCATGGTCGGGACCCTTCTCGGATAGATCACACTTCTGAAATGACGACCTGTCGTAGAAGCAGGTACTTGGCCATCCCGGAATTCAAGCTTTCGGTAGGAATCGGAGGTCGGGTAGTATGGCCGACGCATCTGGGGAGCAGGTCCACCACTCTGTAATCAGCAACAAAACGTGAATCCTCTCTAGGAGGCCACAGAGCCTAGCATGGAACATCCTGAAACAAGAGACTCTTGGCAAAGGCCCGTATGGCATCTCTCATCGTGTAGATAACTCGACCTTCACGCCAGAAATGCCCAGCCGTCGCGACTTCCTGAGCTCGGAAGTGGGATCCTGGAGCGCTCGACAACCGAGTAGCCCACTCACGAACTCGTTTAGCCGCCACGAAGATGTCCTGATCTCCGTATATTGCCAGCGTGGGGTTGCGAATAAGTTTCTCCTCGGCTTCCACCCAGAAAGAGGCACGTTCTTTTGCAGCATTTACCACAAGCTTTGGTGGTTGGTCGTTTTCCGACTTCGTAGTCTTGATCCCGAACATGTTCGAATAAGACATCGACGCCAGGTGGGTAATCATGCCTCGAAGAGGCGACACTAAAAGATATGCTGGCCGGAACGGGGTCATATCCAGGACGGACTGTGGTTCATCAACTTCAGCCTGTCTATTGGGTGCATCGTGGTCACCGGCTGGCATTACTGCATTCTTCTGCAGCACGGAGTCCGACGACACGGTCCGCTGATGTCGTCTCCGTGTCCTTGCGACGAATGTGCGGTATCTTTCCTCAGGGCCTACGGAGAAAGACCGTCGGGGCAGCTCATGACTTCTCCTGAGGTCCTCATCGCCGCCCACACGCAAGCCCATCGACTTCCTTGGCGACCTTTCTGGCGACTTGTTCTCTGGTCCAACGGCCCTTGCGCAAGCACCCAGTATAGTATTCTGCGTGACAGCCAAGTGCTCCGCTCGCGAGTGTATTTCTGCTGCGGCAGATCCGTGCTCGGGAGCCTCGAAAATCGACAAGATGGTGTCGAGCTTGGGTAGTTGCATGGTGATCATTGCTCCGTACGAGTAGCCCGCAAGGAGGAGAACGGGCACGCGTTGTCCGTGGGTGTCGGGATCTGCCGGTCCCTCTCGCGTGTCTGGACGCCACATGGGATCTAGGTAATGCACGTAGTGGGAAACGAACCCAATGACAGACATGTAGTCGGCGCGCTCAGCTTTGGCTGTCCACGACGTTCGTCCAGCCGAGCCCGGAGCCCCTCTGCCGAGCTTTAGCAAATGATCATCCACTGGCGACGCATTGGGGACAAGGTTAGCTACCTGAAGTTGAAGGTGCAAACCAGATAGCCCAGACGGAGCAAGGTCGAAGCGATCACATCGACGATCGGATCCTTGTAACTACCACCCATGGGCGCATAGGGGTGGGCGACAATGGCGGCGTCCTT